CTGGCAGCGCGTGTGAATCCCGGTCAGGGACTCCCTTGGCAGCCAGTCTTTCAGGCAGGGCGCCAGGCGCCCGTCCTCGAACCGGAGCATGAAGTCGTAGATGCGCAGGCTCCGGCTCCCGAAGTTCAGCCGCATGTAGATGGACGAGACCCTCCCCCGGTCCTGCGCGGAGCTCCTCGAGGACCCCGAGGACCCCGAGGACGACGAGAGGGAGCTGCGAGAGCTCCGACCAGCGCGGCGAAGGGCGGACGGCTGCGACGGCGCGCCCGGCGGCGGCGCGGCCTGGGCCAGCGCCAACGCCGCGCCGGGCGGCTCCTGCCGTTGGCCAGCAGGCGGCCCCGGCGTGGCCTGGGCACCAGCGCAGCTCCTCTCGGGGTCGGGCTGGCACGCCGCCAGCGCGGGCGCGGCGCGCGGCTGCGGCGGCGCCCTCTCGCGCCTGGCGCGCCTCCTCACAACCGTGGCGTTGGCCAGCTCGACCTTGGCAGTCCACAGCTGGACCTCCGCGTCCGCGTCGTTGTGGCGCAGCGAGAGCACGGCCGCGGCCCGGAGCTCCATGCCGAGCGAGCGCAGGTGCGGCGGCCTCAGCTGCACCCGCACGGATCGCCGCAGGGGCAGGCCCTGCCGCTCGCGCAGGGCGCTGTCGCGGAGCTCCTGCACGCACTGCACGAAGCTGTCCGCGCTGACCATCCACTCCAGCAGCCTGGCCCCGGGCGCCGACGGCCCGGTCAGCGCGGTGAAGCCCGCGGAGCACTTCTCCACGGGGCAGCCGGCCTCGAAGAGCTGGAAGTACACGGCCAGGTCCCCGCTGTCGCTCTCCAGCTGCACTGTCGACACGCTCTCCACGTCGGCGGCCAGGCTCTCCCCGGGCGGCGCGACGACGGGGGCAGCGTGCGAAGGCGGTGCTTCTGGAGGCATCCTGAAGGACTCTTCGTCCTCGCGCACGCCCACCACGTGGAAGAAGCTGTCGTCAAAGTCCCGGCCGCAGATGTGGAAAAGCTGGACCGTCACGACGACGTCGTTGGAGTCCTTTATGGACGTGTGCAGCGCGTCCGCGCCGGGAGTGTTGCGGAGAAGGAAGGCCTGTACCCGCTCACGCTCCTCGCTGCACTGGAAGAGGTCGAGAAAGAGGACGCCGCCCATCCCGCCGCAGGAGGACGGCCTGACCACCCACCAAGCCACCCCAACCCAACCCCAAGTCGGCGTTGGGCCTGGCAATTTCCAGTCGGGGGACCTTCCAGAGCATCAAGAAAACGCCGTGGAACCCGTGCACCGCCCAACCCGAAGTTTGGGGCGGGGCGGGACCTTCAGGTTGGGTTGGGGTGGTTTGGTAAATAGTGACAGCCGGTGAAGCATCGTTGCGAGGTGCGGCGACGGCTTGGTGATCCGGAAGTCCTCTCCCAGGTGCACCACCTGGCGGCGCGCAGAGGGGGGTAAGGGGGGAAGGGGGAAGGCTTCTTAGAAGGAGGCTGGTTCTGAGAATGCGCCGGCCCTACATCTACAGACGAGGCCCGCGCCTTCTATGAAGCAGGGGTGCGTCTAAGAAGCCTTCCCCTCCCCCTCCTCCCCCTCCTCCCCCTCCTCCTCCCCCTCCTCCTCCTCCTCCTCCTCCTCCTCCTCCACCTCCTCCTCCTCCTCCTCCTCCTCCTCCTCCTCCTCCTCTTTGAAACCCCCTATGCGCGAGGCCGAACCACCGCGTCGCACAGCCGGCTCAGCAGCCCGTCCGCCGCGACCACCACCCTGTGAGACATCCTGGCCTCCAGCACGGCCCTGATCGGTGGCGCGCCCGGGGGGGGGGGAGAAAGGGGGCAGGCCTTCTCGGAAGGCGGCAGGCCTTCTCGGAAGCCCCCCCGGCCTTCTGAGAAGCCGCCTCTGTCTTCGGAGAAGACACTTCGACAACTTCCTGTAAGGCCGGAAGCCTTCCGAGCCTTCTGGGAAGGCCCGCCCCCTCTGCATTGCCTCTAGGGTTCGCCGCCGACCTGAACTGCGCGTAGCGCACGCGGTCTATGACGTACATGACGCCCCACACGACGCCACAGAGGTAGAGGTGGAAAGAGACGTGCCAGTCCCCAGCGTAACAGCAACATATCGCCGTAGACAGCAACACGTTCAGGCATGTGGCCGTCGAGATCTCGCCGAGCATGATGCTGGCCCCGAGGCGCATCGGTGCTGTGCTGGCCAACCAGACAGGAATGTCGGCCTCCTGCAAGGTCGACGCCTCAACGATGAGGCGCAGATACACCAAGGAGATTCCGACGCGAATGCACAAGGGATTCACCAGGCGCGGTTTGGCAAGAAAAAGTGCGTTCAGACCTTGTCTGAACAGAAGGACGAGAATACAAGACAGCTGTGTCGCGCCCACTTCGATGCACGCTTCGCTGAAAAACCCAGCCAGCACAGGCCAGCGGCGGTTACGCACGAGATCGTGGAGTAACAAGGCCGAGTTCAGCACCAGAGCAATAGGCAGCAGAGCCGTGAACGTCTCAAGGCGGGACCTGACGATCATATGTCGCACCTTCTGGTCCAAAGGATCTTTCTCGGGAAGCACCTGACTACCTACCAGACCACCCCAACCCAACCCGAAGACCCCAATTTCGGGTTGGGGGGGGGTACGGGTTCCATATGTGTTTTTGTCAGTGTTCCCCGACCCCCCCCCAACTGGAAATGGAGGGCAAATGGAGGCCTTCGGGTTGGGCTGGGGTGGTTTGGTGGGTGGTGAAGCACCAGCATCGACTTCAGCATCTGCAAAGTGGCGCTGCAGAGTGCCCTCGCGTCTCCGAGGCGCTTGGCGCAGAAGATGCCCGCGGGCAGAGAGCGAGCGACGAGGTACCCGGAGAAAACCGACTGCACCACTGCCCAGGCAAAGGAACATTGATACAGAAAAACAAGGATCGGCATTCGAGCGCTCTGCGGCGTACTGTGTCCGTGAGCGTGCGGCTGGCCAATACCCTGAGCCGAGGATGGCGCGGCGATGAGAGGCCGTTCGGGGGCCGAAAGACGACAGGCTCACCAACCCGGCCCGGTGACAAGCAGGAGCACCAGAAGAGGCGTGTCTCGGACAAGAGGAGGCGGGCGGCGACAGGCAAGGACGCCGTCGCCGAACGTCAGAAGCAGCGCCTCGCGGCTCTCGCGCGCTGAGGGCGGACTGGGCGGCGCGAGTGCCAGTTCCGCCACCAGCCGCCCCAACCCTGAATGGATGACAGGGCAACAGCTTGCCATCGCTCGGACGTCCATTTCCCGTGCATTGTTCGGTTTCGTGCGTGTTTTTTTTTGCTCGATGGTCCAGAATGCTCCTCCAGGGTCCTCGCCAAGAAAAAAATGCACACGTCCGAGCGATGCCAAGACAGAGAGGAGGGCAAGCGAGGCGAGCTGGCATGGGGGAAAAACGGGGTCCTGAGGGAGACGGGTCCTGGACCCTGGGGACTCTCCATGGACGAGACCTTCACCCTGATCTGTTGTCTGGCAGCTCCGGGGCCCGTGGAGGGCCCCGAAAGCCCAAAAACGGCGAAAGCTTCAAGACCCGCTTCCCCCATGGCGAGGCCAAGCGAGAAGGTCCCTCCAAGCCTGCCTCCCCCGCGCCCCCTCACGAACGACGAACAAGGATAGGGGGGAGGGGCACCGCGGCTCGCGCCGGAGCACTCGTCTCACACAGGGGCGGGCCACGCGAAGGCTCGGCGCCTCCGAGGCGCGGCCACCCGGAGCTCCAGCTGCGGCAGCAGGCGGGGTGTGGCAGGTGCGCTGCTTGTCACACACACACACCGCCTGCGGTGCCCTGAGGCCGCCTGCGCGCCCCTCACCCGTCGACTCTCGACGGTCGGGCCTCTTCCCCCTCCCGAGGAGGAGGAGGAGGAGGAGGAGGAGGAGGAGGAGGAGGAGGAGGAGGAGGAGGAGGAGGAGGAGGAGGAGGAGGAGGAGGAGGAGGAGGAGGAGGAGGAGGAGGAGGAGGAGGGAGGGGGAGGAGAGGGAAGAGGAGGAGGAGGAGGAGGAGGAGGAGGAGGAGGAGAGGAGGGGGGGGAGGGGGAAGAGGAGGAGGAGGAGGAGGAGGAGGAGGAGGAGGAGGAGGAGGAGGAGGAGGAGGAGGAGGAGGAGGAGGGGGAGGAGGAGGAGGAGGAGGAGGAGGAGGAGGAGGAGGAGGAGGAGGAGGAGGAGGAGGAGGAGGAGGAGGAGGGCTCCGCGGCCGCCCTCGTCTTTTCCACCTGCACCCGCGCCCGGCGCCCGGCGCAGCCCGCCGGAGCCGACCCCCGCGCCAGCGCTCGCCGGCGAAGGACCGAGAAGAGAGCGCCAGGTGCGCGTTCGGAGGCCAGCCACGACCGCAGAGTAAAAGGGGGCTGCGCATCACGAGTCGACTGCGAACTGCACAAAAACACGGAAGGCCCGAAGGCTACGAAGCACCCGGATCGGCGGCATGACCTTCGCTGCCGCATCCAAAAACTGCGGAATCGCCAGCACAGCCTCCATTATGACGACCTCACATGCCTTACTTCGGGCACCAGCACCAGGAAGCCTTCTGGACGATTCAGGCACCCCGGGGAAGTTCACGGCGAGGCGTGGTCGAAACCTGCCGAAACGGCCAAACGCGGGATTCAAATATTCACTCGGACGGTTTGGGAGCCATGACAATTCGGAGGTTCCACATAAAGGCCGCAGGCCGCGACGAGGCCGAAAGACGCGAGAGCCCCGACCGCGGAATTGAATGTCCACCTTGACTCCTGAGGCTACGACCCCTGGTGAGAAAACAATGGATCCGCGCTCCTGAGCTTCCAAGACGGCCGAGGCAGGCCGCGAAGATGGCTCAAGATGACCTCAAAGACGGCCCAAGATGGCCCCAAGGCGGCCCGAGAATGCCCCAAGACGGTTTAAGAGGCCTCCAAGACGGCCCAAAAGAGCCGCAAGAGGACCCCAGAAGGGCCCCCCCCAAAAAAAATGTCCCTGCGCTTTTTGGAAGAGTTGGGCGTCTCCACCTTTCTGCGTTTCCTTCAGCTCCAGACGACCTTAGAGGCAGCCAAGATGGCGCCAAAAAGACCCAAAAGGGCGCACATACTGCAAAACAAATCCCCAAAGACAGCCGCAAGACAGCCCAAGAGGGCCGGTAGACTGCGACGGCCCCAAGCTAGCTCCGAGCTGGCTCAAAAAAGGGCCCCCCAGATAAACCCAAGACGACCCTCGAGAGCCCCTGGACAGCCGAGAGCGCCCCAAGACGGCCCGACAGAGACCCCAAACCGGCCCAAGAGGACCCGACGACGACCTAGGGTGACTCAAGGGGCCCCCCAAGACTGCCCCACAGAAGCCCAGGACAGCCTCAAGCCAGCCCGAATGAGCTACATGAGAGCCCTTTCACGAAGTGAAGACGAAGGGTGTCACATGTGACGGCCGTCCTCTTCCTCCTCCCCCTCCCCCTCCTCCTCCTTCTCCTCCTCCTCCTCCTCCTCCTCCTCCTCTTCCTCCTCCTCCTCCTCCTCCTCCTCCTCCTCCTCCTCCTCAGCCTCCAGCCCACCATCACCATCATCATCATCAGCATCATCATCATTCACAGCAGCAACAGCAACAACAGCAACAGCAACAGCAACAGCAACAGCAACAGCAACAGCAACAGCAACAGCAACAGCAACAGCAGCAACAACAATAGCAAAAGCACTACTGTGCGACGTACCCAACCCATCGCCACCAAGGGATGAGATAAGGTGTGCCGATAATAATGTGACAGCAACACCCTAACAGACGGTGCACAATGGATATCTCAGTCGTGCGAAGCGTGCATGGACGACACGCAAAACAGGGGTACAAAAGGCCAGGAGGCATTGTACTGGGAAGGAGAAGCAAAAGGAAGATATCGGGGTGGAAGAGCACTCACCTCAGAAAAGGCGGCGACTTGATGGAGCATGGGCAAGATAAGGCGATTTAGGCGGAGACGCAACCAAACAATGAAGTGCCGCGTGTTTTGTATGCCGAAAGTCTCGACACCTGCGCAGGCAGCTCTGCGCGTTGCTGCAGCGCCTCGGAAAATGAAAAGCCCCCGTTACTGGTGTAAGAAGCGATCGGGGCCTAGCTTGCCCGCCAGCCTCTCCTTTTCTCCCCTTGTACCTTTAGTGCGAGTACCAAACACTCGCAGGCGCGACGCCTGTCCTCGAAAGTGGCGACAGCTTTACACTTCGCAGCCCCCCCCCAGGGATGGCGAGGTCCCGTTTGGGTCTGCGTGGGGCTCACTGTGTTGGTCCCGTTTGGGTTTGCGTGGGAACCCACTGTGCTGCCCCCACGCAGCCCTCGAAAGTGGCGACCGTTTCACACTTCCCAACCACTCCAAGAATGGCGAGGTCCCGTTTGGGTCTGGGTGGGACCCCACTATGCTGGCCCCCTCCCCAGCAGCCCTCGAAAGTTGCGACCGTTTCACACTTCGCAGCCCCCACAGGGATGGCGAGGTCCCATTTGGGTCTGCGTCGGACCCCGCTGCGTTGGCCCCCCTTCAGCAGCCCTCGAAATGGGCGACCGTTTCACACTACGCAGCCCCTCCCCCCCCCGGGATGGCGAGGTCCCGTTTGGGTATGCGTCGGACGCCATTGTGCTGCCCCCCACACACACACACACACACACACACAATTGCCCGCGAAACTGACGACAAATTCTTATTTCGCAGCCACCCAGTCGTGGCGAGGTCCCGTTTGGGTCCGCGTGGGACCCCACCGTGCTTCTCCCCCCACCCCACGCAGCCCTCGAAAGCGGTGGCCGTTTCACACTCCGCTTGGGTCTGCGTAGGACCCCGCTGTATTGGCCCCCCAGCAGCCCTCGAAAGAGGCGACCGTTTCACATTGCGTGGCCCACCCCGGATGTGAGAGGAGAGAGCCGAAAGGAGAGCGGGGAGGAGGAGGGAGTTGGCAACCTCACTGCTCTATCCAAAACGCGAACCCAACCAAGGAAGGGCCGGGAACAACACCACCACCACCACCAACAACAACAACAACAACAACAACCATTATAAAACGGTTCGCTCTTACTTGCCCGTGTGTCATTCAAAACGAGTTCCCCGCACCCTCGATACCCGCCCTTTTTGTCTTCGATCACACCCCCTTTTGGGGGATTATTTCTCTTTGCAGGGGGCGGCGGGCTTCGACAGGCGGGCAAACCTGAACGGGCGGACAATCCGTCGTGGGCGTAAATGTGCCCGCCATTGCGCCATTGGAATTGGTATGGGCCCTGCAAAAAGAGGAGGGGGGGAACGAGGGAGACTGGGAGGAAGGGAGGGGGAGTGACGAAGGAAGAGGGGAAACGCCAGGAGAGAAGGAGCGAAGAGGGGGGCGGTTGATTAGAGGCAGAGAGAAAGAGAAAGACAGATAAGAGAGGAGGGAGAGGAGAGAGAGGGGATAGGGCAGAGAGGCATAAGGATGAGGGAAGAGAGGAGGGAGAGAGCAGGGAGGAGAGGAGGGAAGGGAGGAGGGAGGAGGGAGAGTGAGGAGGAGCAGGAAGGTAAGAGTGTGAACGTTCGAGAAGGTCCTAAGCGAAAGCGCCGTTCCTGAAGGAAGTCTCTGGCGAGAGCGCAATTCCTGAATAAAATGTGAGGGGTTCTCTGGCGGGAGCGGGGGTCTTGATTAAATTGCGATGAAATCTTGACTCAATTGCGAGGAAGTCTCAAGCGGGAGCGCGTTTCCTGAGTAAATTGTGAAGAAGTCTCAGATGGGAGCGGGGGTCCTGACTAAATTGCGAGGAAGTCAAAGGCGGGAGCACTGATCCTGAGTAAAGTGGGGGGGAGGTCTCAGGAGCGGGGGTCCTGACTAAATTTGGAAGAAGAAGTCTCAGGCGGGAGCCGCTGCTGTTGTAATCCAAGGGGGCCAGGGGCTCAGTTTGAGCAGGAAGACTTTCCCTCACAAAAAACAAGGTGCGAGCGTCGAGGGGCACACTTTGATTGAGAAAAAACAGTATGCACCGGCGAGGGGGGTCAACAGTAATTATTCTTCAAAAATAAAA